TTACTTGCCTTCATTAATAGGTGTAGTCAGTACGTTTGGGCTGTTTTCCCATATTTACCATGAGGTGCTTTACTTCAAAGTGTCACGTGTCTGGAAGTCTGAAAACTGCATGTTTGTTCTTAGAGTGGTAGAGTGGCTCTATGGATATCTTCAGTTTCGGACCTAATTTTATTATTTTAATTCAACTTTTTTTTTTTTTTTATTGTCAAAGGGCATGTGTGCTTGTGGAGGGGGAACAGGGAGGGAAGAGAAAGCACTCCCCCTTTGGGTGCCACACCCTTATCCCTCTATTCTGTCAGGATTTTGGGCATGCACACACATGTACCTGACATGTTTTTCAAGATGCCAGTGCTGGGGTTCAAATCACAGTTGGCCATGTGGGATCGGGTTCCCTATCCACAGCATTGAGGCACTGCTCTACAGGGCAGACCCTTTATTTTTTAATTTTATTTATTTATTTAGTTATTTAGTTTGTTAGTTTTTTGATTTTTGCTACAGGGAGCATGTGCATATGAGAGAGAGAGAGGGAGGACAGATAGACAGACAGAAAGTAAGAAATTGCCTTTTGGGGGGATGGCCATGCCACAGTCCCTTCTCCCAGGATCTTGGGCATGCACATGCATGCCTGGTGTGAGTTTCAAGCTACTGGGTCCAGGACATGAACCACAGTCCACTACGTGAGAATCCAGCAAGGTAACCATTACACCATCATAAAGCGACCCTTTATTTTTTAAAGGTTTCTTGTTTTCGAACTTAGGGTCCCCACTTCACAACAGCAATGTGAATTGGGAACTCACCTTCCTACATACCGGAGGTTCCTGGATTTGCTTTTTCATATGTGACATTATTTCCACTAGAAGCCTCAGGTGAGCAGCAGAGATGTAGGTAGCTTCCCAAACCCAGTCTAATGAATTTTTCTGGTTTCTATTTCAGAGCCTGGATAGCACTTAATAGCCCCAGGGCTAGGACTGGAACTTTATCTCCCTTGGCACCTAAAACTATAGCCTCCCACCCAAGAGATCTAGATTCTCTTCTGATTCCTATGTGGGGGCTTACCCTCTCTCATCTGCAGCACTTGGAGATTTCCTTTTTCTTTTTCTTTTTTGAGAGGTTTTTGCTATAGGGCGTGTGCACTCGCCAGAAAAACAGACAGAGACAGAGAGATAGAAAGCGAAAAATCAACACCCAGGGAGGATGACCACGCTGCTATCCCTTCTCCTCCATTCTCCTCTTGGGATCTTGGGTGCGTGCACACACAAACCACATGCACCCAGCATGAGTTTAAGCCACCGGGTCCGGGACTTGAACTGTGGTCGGCTACATGGGAGTTCAGCGACAGCCATTATGCTAACTGCTGGTCCTCGCACTTAGAGATTTCTCTCCTAGTTCAGCTGTGCATTAAGCCTGTGTGTGTGTGTGTACACATGCGTGGCGGAGGACAGAAAAGGGATGAACATGGTGAAGGCATAGGGAGCTGCAGGAAGGAGTTTTTCTGTACTGGTTAGGTCTACTAATATTTTCTAGAAGTTTGCTAAATTATTATTATTATTAAAAACCTTATCTAAATTTAACAACATAGAGAAAAGCACGCTGATAGGTTTTTAAAATTCTATTTCCAAGTAATCTTTATAGTTGATTATATGGACAAATGGTTTTGTTCTATTGACAATTCTGGGTTCATAAAACTTATATGATTTCCACCACAAATGGTGACACCATTCCACCTAGTGTTTTTTCAGGAAACATAGCTACTGTTGAAGATCAGGGAATACAGCTATGAGCTGCCGAGTACGGGGCCTTGAAACACCGCTAAACAGTGTATGTCGGGGTGACTCAAAGGCAGTCATGGAGTCTGCTGTAAGAGTTTCGGGGTGACTCAAAGGCAGTCATGGAGTCTGCTGTAAGAGTTTCATTCTAGACAACTGTATAAAATGTAACCACCAACAAAATACAGCTCCTTTATCTACAAACAGACAAATTTGTATTAGGAATGTTTTATAGTGAACACATCCTATTTTTTTTTTTTTGCTGTCTTTCAAGCAAAGACTGAGGTAACCAACAACAGTGGCCAGCCTAGAAGGAGGGTGGTCACCTGGCACAGGGAGGGGTATGATGGACACCTTTTTTGCAGAGTTTGACACTATTCTGTAAACATAAAAGATTTTTTTAAGCTATTTTTATTTTTCTTCCTTAGATATTATCTGTGCCTCACTTTTCGTTAGTAGTATATGCAGTCAAGGGATTATGGTATGAAAATTTTAATTAAAATGGAATTATAGTATGAAAATTTAAGTAAAATGTAAGAACAACTTGTTAATCTTCTTGAAATAATGAAACTAATATGCATTTTTACTAAAAAGTTGTATAACTCGTTATTTGCAAAAGGACAAAATCCCTATTGTGAGGCCTCTGACGTCAACCTTCTACTGAGGGTAAGAGAAACATCTATTTCTAGAACCCCTTTACCAACAGTAGACATTTCTGGGACCAGCAGTTAGTGTAACGGCTTATGTCGCTGGACTCCACAGAGTCGACCGCAGTTCGAGTCCCGGACCCGGTGGCTTAAAACTCACGCCGGGCGCGTGTGCGTGTGCGCCCAAGATCCTGAGAGGAGAATGGAGGAGAAGGGATTGTGGCGTGGCCATCCCCCCTGGGGGGTGATTTCTCGCTTTCTCTCTCTCTGTCTCTGTCTGTCTGTCTGGTGAGCGCACGCATCCTATAGCAAAAACCTCTCTAAAACAAAACAAAACAAAACAAAACAAAACAGTAGACATTTCTAATAAGTTTGTAAACTGATTCTGTGAACGATAAGAAACTTCTATATTTATTTTTATTTTTGCTACAGGGTGTATACGTTTGCCAGAGAGAGACAGAGAGAGAGGAGAAAGCATTCCCCACGGGGGATGGTCACACTACAATTTCTTCTCTTCCATTTCCTCCTCTTCTCAGGATTCTGGGCACGCACAAACCCGCACATGGTGTGTTTCTTGCACTGGCAGGTCTGGGACTCAAACCAAGATCAGCAATGTGGGGCCAGGCTGCCTTTCCCATCAGGGGGCAGAGCCAGCCCACATTTATTATTTTTAACAGATTTCATAACATGTTCATAATTTTAGAATAGAACTTACAGGCTTTTTTAAAAATACTGGAAAAAACCAAAACTGTAAGGATTTAAAGATATAAACTTCTATATTCAGAAATATTTAATCAGTTAACTCATTAATGAAGTTTGACTGGTAAAAATCATGCACTGAGTATTGATAGAAGAAGCTCTTATAAATAGTCATTTTAAACAATAATTCCATTTCTTTTATATATTTTTTATAATTAGTATAATTAAAATGTGGTCTGGAGTTTTACAACTACTCTGTAACTTACTTCACTTCTTTGGAGTAATCACCTAATAAAAAGATTAATGATGGCATTAAAGATTATTTAATACATTATACTTTGTAGCTCTAGGAGATACAGGAACTTTTACCTGATTTATTTCTTTCATCAGTAATATGAGGTAGACAAGATAAGAGAATATTATTATTTTTATGGGAATTTAAAACATGAAAGAGGTTAAAGCAGTATCAGATAATATACATGTTCTGTGTCTATGAATATGAATACTAGTCCATAAATGTGGGGGGAATATTTATTCTCCACAACTATTTTCTAGGAATGTCTACTAAAAACCATGTGCTCTGCCAAAAAGAGAAAGGTTTACAGCCTCCCAGCCTGTAAATACCAAACTTTTATCCTTATTTTACTGAATTTCACTGAATCCTGGAAAAGTACTCTACAAAAAAAAGTAGTTCCAGGAAAGAATTCAAAATGATATTAATTCATTTTGACTTTACAAAATTCTGTCTTTCACTTTCGTTCGGCTGCTTGGAAATTAGAGTGTAGTTAAGGAGTACACCAAGGGAGAAACTGCCATGGCAATATTTGGGAATGCCTACCTAAAATGGTCCAGACTTTTTTTTGAAAAGTTTTTATACTTATTTCATAAACATGGGGGGCGGTGAGAGAGTGAGAGACGGGGGGGGGGGGGGGG